GACGTTTCGCCGACAATCGATTTTTCGGTTTCAAGGACTCACAACATGTGGATTCTGACTACACAACATGTTAGTTGAAGTAATTTACTACAAATAATAACAAGACACGTTCGTTACCTAGGCTCATCAATAAGAGTTTTTCTGTGGAAGAATTGCAAATTTCCGGCGCACGATTACAGTACTTCTTCTTACGTACTAAGGCGAGAAAGTCAAAATTTAGTATAGAATACAATAGCAATAGAATGCACTTTCAATTTCATTTCTTCCTACTCTTCACGGGAAACAATTAATTTTGCATCACGTGATCTCCTTGCATCTTGCATCTTGCATCTGGACATTTGCTTTAAAATGGGGAATTTCGACTCAAATGTTCATTTGAAGAATGCTTTCATTGATGCAGATAAAACGTACCTCTTTCGTAGCGATGAGTAAGAAGAGATTCTTTGAATTACGCAGAACCACAAGTTTGTGGTAATCATAAATGCATATAAATTCTGACCACAACAAACAATGGCCGTCTAGTCTGCAAATCTCTCATCGAAAAGGAAATATTTTTTAAAACAAATGATTAGCACATTCGGTGACTTTTTCGCACAGGGGCATTAAAAATTATGGATTTTCTAATATATTAGGATCACTGGCAATTGTTTCATGAACTATTTCCCAAACATATTTTAAAACCAATGTATTAAATGTAGGTACAAATCCTCATTGAAAAGAGAAAAGAAAAGAAAGCACTTACCAAGAATATTTCGCCACGTATTACCACAGCAATTACTATTCTTCCAAACGATGTACTTTTATTTGAAAAAATGTCAGTTCATAACGCATACTACAACTATATCACAACTTCACAATCTTCCACTTGTCACTAAAAATGTAATTTATGACAGGTTTCTATACAAATATCTTGTCACTTTGGGCAATGTTGTAATAATTTCGACATTCCTATTCCTGACGTATCTATACATCCTTCCTTAATTTTGTTATTGTCTTTGATTTGGTAACTTGCATGTAATGTGACGTTTGTTATCAAAGGTTTACGTTGAGAAACGATACGAGACAAAACATATGTACGAAGGCCATTCACAATCGAATTTATGTGCAAATTAGCAGATACTCTACATTTGCACATGTTGTCGTCTGCCTCTATTTCACGATATTTGTGATTTCCCGTTTATCTCTGTATTATTCAGAGAAAGTTTTGTAATGTTTCAGAGCAAGCTGCCGACTTTTTGGCAGAAAAATTTTATGTGTTTCTGTTCGCGAAAAAGTTCTGATCAGTGGTATTCCTGATCGCGCTTCCAGGCGAATGCCAGATCCGCATCTTGGAAAATGTACCATCGACCGAGCGATCCTTCCGTCCCTATTCTGTTGCCTTTCTCAACCATAGGGCTAAGAGATAGGTTGATCACCTATCCTCCTGCTGACCTCGCAACCCTTCAACAAGCGGCCGATAAAAGGGGGGTCAGGACTTCAACTGGTCTCACTGCAGTAGTGCTTCTCAAGATTCAAGTCTCGACGGTGGCAGGACTTTTGCCACTTGCTAAACATCTAGGTCGAATCCAGTCGGTGGAGGAGAATTCTAGAGGCGGGCTTCTTCGGTGAACACCAGGCGACTGCCGGAGCAGTACCCTAACAAACGGGTCACGGACCGCGCGCGAGATTTCCTCCTCTACCGTATCCAATCCGCACCCATTGATTACTCTTCCGTCTTCGTAACACTTTTCCGGGTACAAGTAGTACTCTAACAGTTAAAAACAATGCAAGAAACTATGTGATGTTGTAGCTTCACTGGTTCTTCTAATTCTTTCCTAAAATAAAAGAGTATACGCTTACAAATTAATATAGCGGTCCGGTTTTTTCATTAAAACTTGTGAACTTCGAAAATTGCAAATCTGGATATCTCGGGATTTTTTCATAGAAAGGTGTTTCACGAGATGGCTGATAATTTAGTAGGATTCAATCTTTTACTCAACATTAGATCTTTAAAACATTTCATATACAATTGTTTTGGTGTATGAGTAGTTATCACAATTATATGACAGAATTTTCTGTAAAGACCATCATTTTTGTTGTTTTTCTGTAAAATATTTGTTGGATAGAGTACAACACAATTAAATTGCAGAAAGCTATCTTGATTTTTAAATTTTTGAATTAGAAAATGGATTTGGTTTCGAACCTATCGCTTTGTTTGGTTAGCATTTTGTCAAGTGATGGCTGACGTGTTAGTAGCATAGAAGTTACATTAATAGAATAAGCAACGTTTACGATAATTCGACAGAGTAAGAGAGTACCGATACTACGGAAAGAGAATGTGCTATTTTAGTTCCATTATTGTGGTTTTGCTCTAGAGAACTGCAACGGCTATGGACCTGTGTGACGATGTCTGTGTCTTCTGCGAGCTGGGCTGATGATAAGCATACCATTGTGTCAGGCATTTCTTTATTTTTCTGGGGGTGGGGTCGTGAATTGGCCGTCTACGACCACGCGGCCAAACACCTGCACTTACCGAGGCTCAGTAACATTTACCCCGTTGCAACAGTATGTGACTTCTTTTTGCGGGGATCCGCATTAGGCTGAATCCAACTTTTATTCCCCAGGGTTGCTAGTCCTGAGGAGATGGAAGATGGAATGATGATGATGATGATGATGATGAGGATGATAATGAAGAATGAATGGACGACACACACCTTTAGACATACACAAACACACCTATGCCCGAGGCGGGACTCGAACCCGCAATCCTGCCTTAGCGGTGTTGGTTATTCTGATCAGCATTTGGAAATTTATTAATTTTAGGTCGCTTTAGAATCAATTAATGCCATTAGCGATTATTTTGAGCGTAAGTAACATTTTAAATATTATATACAATAAACATAAACAAAATTATGAATTACAATTGTTTATATCAATTTGTTAAAACCAGTAATTTTTTAATATTTTAACATTAATAGAGATAGTTCTTAATCTACGTTTTTGCCACCTCTTCAACATTCTAGGTCGATATAACTTGTTCATAGTAGTTCTTTACATTTTGGGCAGGTATCTGGTTCAGCTTTCTTCATTCTATGGCAATGAATAAGAGGGCGACAATCTTAACCTTGCGATCGTCATTTGCGCTTTTTGTCCGATTTGATTGTTGGGATAGGTAATGCTACTGTTGATTTTCTTACGAGGTGAAGTTTACATGCTAAAGCTTTCCCCTGACGACCCCATTAGTTACCATTGAACTTCTTTAAAGTGTTCTGAATTTTTTTTAAAATACCACATGAATGTGAGGGAGCCTGTCTGGGTCCATGAAGTCTTTCGCTGGCTGGACAGGTGGAGCACGCACCATTGCGTCGTGATGTTGTATTAGTCAGCATGCCGTCTGCTGCGGGGGGGGGGGGTCAGCGTAGTGTACAAACGTGTAGCGGGTATTAAATGTTGTGTGTCCAAGGGTAAAGAACGGGGCTACAATGAGGATGTGTTGCGCACAGACCCCGGCCCCTATGCCGTGTCGGCGCGCCTTCTGAAATTGATCAGCGGCAAGCCATAAAGGAAAACCGGGGAACGTGTCAGAGTAGTTGCCCTCTGCAATTCTCAGCCATAGAGTGGGTTACTCTAGTTTATTTAACTGGACTTTATATCGATAGGATCCTAGCGTAGGACTACCCGATTTACGAAGCAACGAACAATTAATATCGAAAAATAAAATATTATTCATTTCTTTATAATGACACTGGAGAATCTGTAAATCGAATAATTTTATACTCGTATCATTTATTGCAATCCTAGTAGGTATTACTAATATGCACTTTGGACTTCAATAACTGAGATATTGCAACACGTGTGTCAACCGTGATCATGTCAGAAGGAACACACGAGAAATATAATTAATATCACAATAAGTTTGTATCGTAAAAACAAAGTAGGTACTTTCCAAATTTGCATCATTATTTTCCTAATCTTGAAAAGAAATCATCGTGCATTAAATGGGAAGATACCACTGATTACACTTAATATTACACATTAATATTATACTCTTCATTCATAGCCTACTAGCGTTAATGTGCACATTGACAACGCTTTATTGGGTAACGCAAACCCTATTGGCAAATCGCCTGCCTTATTAATGGAAGTAAATGCTCTCAAAATTAATATAACATACTACGAAATATACGAGTACTTATTCTCTGTGAAGGATATTTAGAAATCTTCACTTCTTCCGTAGTCGTTTTTTACGCCGTAAATTTGGGATTCGTATTACTCCATATAATTAGGACTAATCCCACCTCTCCCATTTCCGCTGTTTGCAAAATATGTAGCATTCTCTCCACATCTTCCATCATCTCACTCTAAGAAGGAGTAGAGTACTTAGGATTGGCCTATCCTCTCTCATTGCCCCCTCCTACAATGTGTATTTAGAATTCGCCCCAACATTCTTCCACTTTATGCAGACAATTTAGCATTCTCTCCACCATCTTAGCATACTCCTAGGCAGAGTATTTAGGATTCCTGTACCTCTACCACCACACTCTTCGCGGAGTACCGTATATTCTGCATTATAATGCCCCTTCTTTTAAAATACAACAAATAACTTACGAATTCCATACCGAAATTTCTATCAAAAACAGTGAGGGGAAAGCTTATATTCAAGAGGGGCCATCATTCGAAAATAATGTGTGTGTACTGTGTATGTTAGATAGTTTATTTAATTTGCTGTGGACATTAGGTATGGTGGCAAATTCTTTACAGTTATACATTTAATACAATAGTATAATACAAAAAAAAGAGCTCTAAAATACATACTTAGTACGGTATTATTTCATTTTAGGCAAGCCTAGAAAATGCAGAGGCTCTTCACAGACTACTGATCTATTCGCTTACATCTCTATTACTAGAATTGTTACCTAAAAGTGGGAAAAGTCGCCATTCGAGCTACAGGCGAGCTATTCCATGACTCGATAGCCCTATTTACAGAGGAGTATTATGTTTGTGCGTGGCGCTTGCTGCAGGGGTGATCCAGAAGCTGCCGTACGTGGCCGACCTGGGCGTGGACGCGCTGCGCTTAGCGCCCGTCTTCCGGCGCGGCATGCACGGCTGCCCGGAAGCTGGCGTGGTGGACTTCCGGGCGGTGGCCCCCGTGCTGGGCACGGCCGACGACATGGAGCGCCTCCTGCGGCGCGCCCGCGAGTTTGGTGAGTCTCTTGCACGTCCATTCCTAGCTTCTTAAAACATGAACAGGCGTCCGTCGTTTGTCGGGCGCTCTGATTTTTGCTGGCTCTGCTCAGCACCAGACGAACGCACCACCGCTCAGCACCACCGTCACGAACCACCTGAGCACAACACGGGCACACGTTTGCAAAGCCTGGTCAAACGCTGGACGCCATTCTGCAAGGCAAGCGAGAAATGTTAAAAAACCTTTTTAAAGTGGCAATATTCATCGGTGACAAATCAAAATAACATAATAAAAGTATAGTTGAAATAATAAATGCAATATTTAAAAAATGCTTCATATAGTATCTGTTTCAATGGCTTATTTAGTTAACACCAGAATCAGTAAAACTTGCATGTGATGTTTGGGGGAGAAAAAATATAATTATAATGATATTTCCGATGATGATTAGGTGATAATTTTGGTATCTGACTGCATTTGAAATTCACACTAATATTTTGTCGTAAAGCAGTCGTCAGCAGAAGCCGAATAGGCTGACCAAAGTTATAGTAACCTTGGGCCGCTCAAATGCTTTTTATCATGTCTTAGAAGTAAATATTATTTTTTGTATCTATATAACTAATGTCGAATATACGCAAAACTGATGGAAAACTAAGCAGCCTCTGGATACGAGAGTGCTTGTTTCGTTACATACCTAGCCAGGAAGTTTGCCAAATCACCAAAACAATGAAACAGTTTTGATTTAGACAGAAAATATATTTATTTTAGTGTTTTATTACCTGATGTTACGACTCTATTCTCATACTCAGTACCGTAAACACGTACTTCTTGGACCCAATTTTTCAATTCTTTCGCAGTTTATCTTTACTAATCCCCGAAAAACTAAACAAAATACGTATATTTTTACCAATCTAACGGCTTAATGTAAAATGCTCAAGAGTACTTTGATAAGATACATTTGACACACCGCACACAGAAAGTTTCTCTGGTGTACGGGCTACTTGAGCCCACGCGAAGTTTTCTTATACAAATCCATTGAGATTTGCACCAGATCTCTAAAGTTCCTAGATTTTCTGATACAACATGAGTATAAATATACTACAAACACGAAGACAACTTCAAATGCTGAAAGGCAATTTTTATTATCCAATTTTTTATCGTTTACTGTGGGCCCTTAATTGAAAGTAATTTCACCTAATTCCGCCTTGGGAGATTGTCTTTGAAAGTAGTGACACTTCCGCCACGCATACAGGAGTAAGACGACACATTAAATCTGAAATAGAGTTCATGAACCGGAAATCCGAAATTACATATTTTGTCAAGGAGACTGGCAAAGGCTAATTCTTCATCTTCAGTAAACATATTTTAATGGCCCGGTTTCTGACCGGTTTTATGCTTCTTATAAGCGTTAAGACTTATTTTAAATGAAGTTTTAGCCTGTGTTTGTGACATTATTCCCGTCTGAATTGCTTCCAAACATTCCTCAAACTGGTGGGCTGTATTATTCGCATATTTCCGATTTCAGGCTATTTTGTTTGTATTTATGTACCGTAACGGTCAGATTACTAAAGAAGCAATAGAAAATAAACATTGTTGAAGTTTTAAATGACGATATAAAACGATTAACTCTTTAAAAATAAAGAGGCGAAGTGCAGAAAGCTTAGTAAAAACTTTTTGAACGCCTTCAAGGTTCGATTCAGGGTGTGCCAGGCACTGGGTGCAGTTGTAACATGAAGTAAAAACGACAAAATTCGTAAAGAAAGGTTTAATTTTGTTTGGACACAGGTAACTGTAACAATTTCTTCAAGTAACTCGTTAATTCTTTCTCCAAGTAACAATCTTTGTCAATTGTGTGTCGTCTCTTTTCCAGAACACTCTTGTCTGACAAAAAACTACTGAAAGAAGAGGCGATGTTTCGTTGCAGTTTCTACTAATTGCTCTCCCAACTTTTTCTTCGAGTATTTCGACGCCTCAACAGGAAGTGTTGTATGAATTGTTCCAAGAAATCTTTCGATAATACTGAATAAATCTTTCTTGAAAATTTCTTGTTGGCATTGACCGCCAATTTTCTTCAAATTTAGCGCTTTGTTTTTTAGTAGGGCACTTTTGATGCTCTTTGAAGGCGTTTCTGAGAGAAGGACTAAACATTTCAAACTTGGCGCTTCGGAGATTTCTCATAAAGCTGAGCGAATTTCTTCTCTGTTGACCAAATACTCATTTCTTTCGTACAAAGTTCCCTGACGTAGATTGTCAGCCGCTTCCTGTTTGTTCGGAGCGTCACCGAGAGATCGCATCAACTCCTAGGCAGCCCCGCGTAAAATTACTATTGTCGAAATACTGGAAAATCACCGATTTTTACCTCAGACGCCAGCTCGCATTATAGTCAAGGTCGAGGTGCAGAAAATTTGGTAAAAACGTCGAAATTCGTAAAGAAAGGTTTAATTTCGTTTAGACAGAGGTAACTGTGACAATTTCTTCAATACTCGTTAATTATTTTTCCAAGTAACAATCTTTGTCAGTTGTGTGTCGTCTCTTTTCCCGAATACTCTTTGACAAAAACTACTGATAGAAGAAGTCATGTTTCGTTGCAGCTTCTATTAATATGCTCTCCCAACTTGTCTTCGATTATTTCGTCGCCTAAACGTCGCCTTTTTTACATCAGTTGCATTGTTTTTTATTTTTGATATTGTGTTAGTCCATTGGTCCTTTATACATTTTTAAACAAATAAATAGGTTTCGTTAAGAACTTTCCCTCTTAGAATGGAAATAGAAAGATAGGTAAGTGTTTAAATTTTGCATCACTTTTGATCAACTGCTCATGCGCAGATAATCGATTTTGCTGTCGATTGCTGTACGTAATGTCGAACTCAAACTCCCTACTTATATCTTTATTTTAAAGTACTCTTACGTTAATTCATAACAAGTTTCATTTATAAACAAGTACTGGCGATGAAGATGGATTGAAGTAATCCTCTTTTAATCTAGTCAATCATCGTCAGTCGTAGTCAGTCATTGCCTTTTATCCATTCTGCCAAGAGCTCAGTGAGCTTAGATCCTCGAGGTTTTCAAACAGTCACCCATCCAGGAAACCGTGAAGTCTGGAGATGCGCTATTATGGACCTGAAACAATTGCTATCGACAACATCAAAAAGGTAAACAACGCAATTACAGTGGAGAGAACAAGGTAAAGAAGTGATAATCAAATGGCGATATACATCGGGGATTGCTTTGATTTGAATATACTCTTGCTTCTCATTGGTTACTTACGAATCCGATAATGAGTGAAATATTTATTTATTTATTTATTTATGTAAAAGCAGTTAAAAATTGTATGTGACGTGCTATGGTGAGAAGTTAATTTGACGTTACGTTTATGTCTAGAAGCAAAACAAGGGGCCACCTCAGCATTCGCTCGAGGATCAGGGAAACTGAACTAAAACCTGATCAAAATGGGGGTCATTGACCCAGATTGTCAAACCCAGATAGTCATTGGCCCAAATAGTCAAACAAATTTATACTTTATGATATGATTGTCATAAATATCACTAATAAGTTGATAATGTATAATTTTCTCTTTTCCAACAACCAATGTCCACTTTTTTGAATAATATTTTATTTGTCATATAATATGGCAACAAAACGTTTGCGTAATTCTAATCAGGTGTAAACAATAATATTTATATGGTTGAGTCGAAGCATGTTTATTTGAATAAAAAAGTTTAAGGTCAATAAGAAACAAGAATAAAAATCCACATTGATGATGAACATCTTCGCTTCAAAGCGGAAAGAGGCAAGTTATCAAACTTGAAATTGCATTGTCGAAAAAGATAAAAGAGTACTTGTATCAACTTATTATTATATATATTTGTCCGTCTAACTTCATGAACCTTTAGAAACCAAACACATAATTCAAAGTCATTTATAATGTCGAATCAATTTACAGGTCTCCGAGTGATTCTCGATATTGAACCCAACCATTCAAGCAGAGATCACGAGTGGTTCCAGAAATCTGTGAAACGTGTGGCGCCTTTCACTGATTTGTATGTCTGGAGGAACGGCAAGGCCAATTCAAGTAACAACAACGGCATTCCAGATCCTCCAAACAACTGGGTAATGATCTCTGATTCTTTTCCTGAAGTGAAGTTGCCCATTTCGGTTTCTTTCACTTGTTTTTAAACAATTTAATTTTACATATTACGATTTTACATCTTGAGTACATTTCATTCATTTCCGAATTTTATAGTTCACATATTACCAAATATTCCCAAGCTGACAGCATTATTCTAGACAGTATTTATTTTGATAATTGCTTTCTAAGAAGTTTCGTTTTTCGAAGAAATTGTAAGTTAATACGTACCTGTGTTTATAAAAAAATATTGTCTGCATCTTACGATACAGGGTTTTGATGGTAAAGCGTTGTACACTTCTTCAAACTTTAATATTGTTTTTAACACAGGAAATATTATAGAAGCTCATTTGTGGTTTTCAAATTAATACATTCTTTAAACCACTCGTTGCGCAGCCGACGACTCAGGAATGAATTATTTCGGTGGGGCGGTGGCAATCGCGCCTACATCACTGGCGTTTTCGGCGACAGGTTTGAAATCGGCATGTGACCTTCCTTGATAATACACGGAAAACTCGAAAGGTAAACAGGTAGAAAACCTGACTCAGGGAAAAAATATCTACAATTACAAAAGTGTTTAAAAACGCCTCTAACTAATGCCTTTAACTAATGCTCTTTACACTTAGTTTAATTAGTATTGTTATTTACATTTCTCGCATTATTTCTAACTTTCATAATTTTCGACAATTCAGATTTCAACGAAAATGATATCTGCGCCCTTTATCCACCGCCGTTTGTTATATCCAAAGAAAAACATTGAAGAAAATGTTTGAGCCAATTTTTGAGAATTGCATAAGCTAAAAATTACGCGAATCCAATTTTGGTTTTCAAAAATGTTTATTGAAAGAAATAATTTTAGTATATATCTTTAATTCAAGAATAAATCTCTGTCATAAATATTGAACTTTTAAACATATACGTATTGCAATTTTCGGAGATACAGCGATTTGACTGGAATACGACCGAAGCCATTTTTAAGCGTAGTTTACTGTATTCGAGAAAAATGTAAGGAAAATGATTTTGAGCCACTTTTTGAGAAAATATTTTTTTTAATTCCCTATATTTCACGCAAATTATTCACATAATTTCACATAAGAAACAACTCATATTTTCGGAAAATTATTCATGATCTTATTTGAAGTCTTGGCTTTGATCAAAAGATTTCGTAAAAAACAAAATTCTATCTGTGGATGAAGAAAGGTGCCGAATTTTTTTGAATGTTTGTAGTTTTACAAAAATTAGTGAAATTTCAACGAATAGGAGACATGTGCCCTTCTTTTAAGCGTCCTTGACGCTATACGGGAACAAAGTTAAATAATAATAATTTGAACCATTTTTGAGAAAATATTTAAAATATTGTAAACGCTTTTAATACAAAATCCCTCAAAATCAAAATATCTGCTTAAAATCCTTATGATCGTAGAAATCGATTGAGAATGGCAATTTTTGAGAAAATAGTTTGAGTGGTTTTGGCTAATGTTGACCACAGAAGGACTTTCATCGAAAAGTTTGAATGGTATTGTCGCTAGCTTTGACCACAGACGGACAAACGTTTTACCGTCAAATAATTTTTCGCTTTCACGTAGTATCCATATTTAATGAAGAGAAGAGAGGTTTTGAACAGTGACTGCTCATTTATACGGATTTCGGAGCTCAAAGGCACCCAGCCAGTGATATACACCCAGTGATGGCTCAGATATGTTTGATTACAAACACACACACACACACACACACACACACACACACACACACACACATATATATATATATATATATATATATATATATATATATATATATATATATATATATATTAATGTAGAACACAGCTTCGTGAAATATGCCATTTTTCTGCTTTTGCATTATTTCATAATGCAAATATATGGGCATGAATATAATAACACAATTCACTTTTCGGTTTGGATGACCTTAAGGAATTGAACTTACTCTTGCTACTCACTAAATACTTAATTATTTCTTTTACTCTGTCGCAAAAAATAATCGCCAAGCTTTGTTTTTATTTGTTTGGAAAATAATTTCACTCAATTTAATTTTTAAGCGTTATAATTGCTTACTAAAAGAGTTCTGAAAGTGCAATATTTTGAATTACTAGAATGAATGAACGAACGAAAGAGTGTTTCTTGGCTTGATGATAAATTCTTGATTGTATTCTTGATCATTTCTTCAATGAGCAAAAATCTATTATATTTCTATTTAAATGTACAGCTCAGTGTCCATGGAGGATCTGCTTGGGAGTGGAATTCGGAGAGACAACAATTCTATCTACATCAATTCGGTGTTGATCATCCAGATTTTAATTATCGACATTATAAAGTGATAGAAGAAATGAAGGTATATATTTGAAGTGTGGTTTGTGGTAATTAGTAATTAATTTATTTAATTAATTTATTATCTTTGTTTTCTTTGAGACACATAGGATATTCTCACTTTTTGGCTCGAAAAAGGAGTTGCGGGTTTTGCGATGAAGGACGTTTCGTTTTTGCTGGAAGATAACCAATTTCATGATGAACGAGAGTTATATGATCGAAATAATTCATCCACTGACTATTCATCTTTAACTCACGTATATACCCACGATGTCAATGACACATATTCGTTAGTAGAAACATGGAAACAGTTGTTGGAAACGTTTGCTCACAAAACCGACCGAGTATCCAGGTAAGAATTTAAAAAATATGATATTTGAAAATAACTGAAATAACTAATATGAATTGAATAGATATATTACGAGTGTATTAAAGTTCTATGTTGTCGAGGAACAAGTTTTTCTCCATTGATACTCAACAGCTACCCCGTAAAAGTTTTAGCAGGGGACTATTTTTATTGGTAAAATTAAAGGGAATCGTTTTTAAATACTCAAAATGGATATCATCGTTTATACTAAGGTTTTTTCTATTATTCATTTCTCAAAAATTATAAACTAATATATATTATTTGCATCACGCCGCCTCCCTCGATAAATATGCACCACACTTACGGGTTTAATGGCATTAGAAGTTGACGCTCCGGAATCATGAATCAATGAAACCGCATTGGAGCTCAGGAGTCGAGTCAGCGCTTCGCCGGACGACGCTTCCAGTTTTTTTGGCGATCCAAAAATTGTCGGCACTATAGTTTTAATTTAAGTTTTGAGCCAGTGCAAAAGTACTAAATTTTATAATAAGTTTTAATATGTTTTACATGTTAATAGCAATAAAACAAATTCACAAAATAAGGGGCCGACAGAAAGACCTCCCATATTTCACAAGGTAGTTGAAAACAATCATAGAAATATACAGAAAAAATATTTATATTTGTGCACAACAAATACTATTCCATGTTATATTATTTGGTTTGATATAATTATAGGAGTTTTCTCTTAGTCCTTACACTCCCTCAAGAAGGTGATGACGTGTCTAATAAGGGCTTATGTAACTCATCTGAATGACCATAAAATGCTATTTTGTATAATAAAATGTTCTTCTCACTGCTTTTTTCAATAATACGTTTTTTGTCATGCTTACAATTGCTTATTATCTACCGAAAATTGTTACATGACGATCCGAAACCAATTTTACTTGATTTTACTAATTATGTGCGGTAAATGGCGACCGCGATTGACATATTGCCATTTTAACATATTGACATTTTAACATATTGACATTTTGACATATTGTCGAAACATTTCCCAATTGTTGTACATAGTTCTTTGTGTCATTTCCAGTGGTATTACAGCCACTTCCTGGGCCATTGCCTCCTTGAGTACTTTCAAAGTTGTGGGGCGATGTTTGTGTACTTGCGCTTTTAAGTGTCAACAAAGAAAACAATCGGGTGACCTTAGAGACCAGGCGATGGCTCCTCGCAAAGAGAGAAGACGTCTCAATAAATAATAGAGAATAACTCTCAATAAATCGCTAGAGAAGTACTGAAAGTGGCCATTGATACCCTCTCCGTGGCCGCAAGCCCACCATACCTCACGCGGCGCCTTCTCCAACCACGAGGTCTTTCTGCCGGGCCCTGCATTTGGGTATAACTTTGGAGGATATACATAAAAATTAAATTCTGTAAAGGGCTAGGGGATCTCGTAGTCACCATGCCCCCTCATGGAGCTGACGGCGTATCTAACAAGGGATGTACTCAAAATGAACTTCTCCATACATCTGAAACTCTGTGAACTGTTATATTGTGTAATAAACATTTCTGCTCACTGCTTTATTGGCGAATACTTTTTTTGCATTTTATGCTTCAGTTGCTTAGATTATCCACCAAAAAATATTACATGATGATCCGAATCTGATTCATTTGACGAAGAGTATAGCTTAGCAGTTTTCCGTTTTTCAGTACCATTTTCCAGCACCATTCTCCAGTAATTTTAAAATAACAGCAATTTTTTGCGATATTTCTATTTTTCATGAAAAATTGAAAAATAGAATTATTTTTTGCGATATTTTTATTTTTACTTTTATGCCAAATATGAACAATTAAATATTCTCATTTGCGCTCTTCCCTTGTTACACTATTGTTTTGTTGATTCTTAATTGTAATGACTTCTACTCTAATTATGCGACTAATATTCTACCAGAATATTGTTTTAGGCTGCTGATGATCGAAGCTGATCCTGATCACATAATGAACTACTACGGCCCTTCGATAAGTCAAACGGGAGGAGCAAACTTTCCCATTAACTCCTTCTTCGTCGCACAATTAACGAATGAATCAAACGCCATGGACTATAGCGAAGCTGTTCATCATTGGCACGTGTATATGCATGATGGACGATGGCCTAATTGGATGGTTAGTTACACTTTTGAGTGTTTGTGCTTAGTACTTATTTCATTCAATTTCTAACAGAACAGGGATTATTTTCCTTTTTGTTCAAATTTAGGTGTATTATTTTTTCTCTCTTACTTACTCATGCAGCAAGGTGGAATGTAATTACAATTTTTCTTCCAAATGAGAAATAGATCATATCTGCTTATCTTTCCTATCCCTTTTGCACAGTCATTGTATCAATGATTATAGGAATCATGGAAGCAAAAGTGTTACAGCAAATATCATACATGAAAATGCAAAGTGAAATTAAAACTGGAGTAAATTAAAATTCCATACGACACAAGAGAAGTAGATTCTTCCAATGAAGGATTTTTAGCCATTGCTCATTTAGGCTGCCTTTCTCTGTCATTAGGAAATAACTGTGCATACTAACTTACATTTCTTCAACAATCCCAACCATTAGCAAGATAAAGTTGCACAAGTCGCGTCTCATTTTGATAAAGAGATTCTGCTAGAGACAACTTGGGTAAGGACATCAATAGTTCCCGGTGCGTCAATAGTGACCACTTCAAGTACAGCATTTGAAAAAGGAGTTGCGCTGCAACAGCGCGTATTTTTTCGCTCGTAATTTCACGCAAAATTATACTCTTCTTCTTCTTCCCGTTTTCTTAACCGCTACTTCGGTCTTCCCTGTTCTTCCAGGAATCAGGAGGTAATTTCCTCTTCTCGGTTATCTTTCTGATCTGGTCGTTCCATCCTGGTCTTGGTCTGCCTCGTTGTCTCCTTTCACTTGGTTGCTACTTTAAGGATCTTCTGGGGAGTCTTCTCTCGTCCATCCGCTGTACATGTCCAAACCAAGTGAGTTGTTTCTTTTTAATTTACTCTATAATATCATGTTGCAAATTCATTATTTCCCCAACCTGTTATTTCCTAATTCTTTCTCTTCCAGATATTGCTGCAGCTCTTCTGAGCAAATCCATTTCCAAAACTCTCAATTTTCTTTTCTGTTGTTCTGAGAGCTGCCATATTTCTACTCCATACAATGTAACACTTTCAATTATACATTTATATATTCTAATTTTCGTTTTCTTGCTTCATGTTTGGATCCAAGATAACTGCATTCAGGGCTCCTAAAATTTTTCTTCCTTTAATGAGTCGAGTTTCAGATTCCTTTCCAAAAAACCCTGTTTTCCAATTGTTGTTCCCAAGCACTTTATGTCCTCTGATGGTCTTATCATTTCTCCAGTTTCCATAGTCAATGCGTCATGTGTACTGCCTAGAGTCCAGTATACTGTTTTTTTCTAGGTTGAGACTTAGTCCACATTTCTCATAACCTTATTTTATCTTCCAAGTCATATTTTCAATATCTTCTTGTTCTTGCGCCATCAGCACCTGATCAAAAATTAACTAAAAATGAAAATAAAACGCTAAAAATTCTCAAAGTTTCGAAATATTGTGCATGACCTAATTTCTAAATCTATCTTTAGAGAACAGATTTCATTAAGGGAAGAATATAAATTGTTTATAATTGTAGTTGAAGGAAGACGCAGAAGAAAGTTGAATTTTGGAAAAATCAGGGTTTTCAATGATCGTGAGACTTGCATCATTCTCTTAAACGTCCTTCTCAATATCCAACAAGAAATTTTAATAAAAAACATAGTCATTTTTAAAATATTTTGAAAATGTCAAATGTTATGTAAAGTACCCCTCAATATTAAAATTTTGGTTTCATATTCAAGGGGCCGCGACATCAAACAGACCGATTGGGGAATATTCATTTTGGAAAAAATCGAATAAATGGTTTAGCCGCTGGCATTGTTGAGACGGACAGTCATACGTTTTGCCGTCATTCGATTTTTCGGTATCAAGCACCATTAAAACATACGGATTCTGGCAAACATCACGTACTAAAGGATTTTCTTTCTAAATTTAACAACTGGATTTATCCACTTTTTCGTTACCAGGGCCCTGTAGTAAGAGTTTTTCTGCCGGAAATTTGCCGTTCTCACTACTACGTAAGCGATAGAGAGAAAGTAACGAAATTTGGAGGTTTTCTTCTTGTATTAAACGTGCTGAAAGAGCTGCTTATACCATCCAGTGGCGAGGTGAAAATAATTTATTAATTTTTCTTCTTATATACGCAAAAAATAAGTTGAAAATACCTTATGAAAATTGCCGTTGCAAAAATGAAACATTAACTGATTGTTTTTGGACATTAAGTGTCTCAAACAGGTCATAAAAAAGAGTATTGCGTGGTCATTACTGTCATGTACCAGAAGATTACAACCATATTGCAATTTTTAACTGGCAACTACTGGATCAAAATCAGGGTTTGGAAATAAATTAATAAAAGTATATCAAATTGAAAATTAGTTGAGGGTAAACATCTATCCAGAAAAAGGTACGCTAATCGCTCACCTAGTTTCCCGTTATGAATTTAGTTCTGCAGCCTAAGAATTTACGAGAACTAGAAAATGTTAACTAGACCACTACTGGTGCTTTGATCTGGACGGTAGCTCTGAATAATAACCGAAAGAAGCTTTCGATTAGAGTTCCACGCAGAAAAATTTATTGTTATTATCATTCCTATTACCATTATTATCATTATTATTATTATTACTATTATTATTATTATTACTATTATTATTATTACTATTATTATTATTATTGTCTTCTTTTTTGCTGTTTGGTTGACCCTTAGATGGGTCTTACGGCACCTAATTTCTTCCACTGTTCTCTTTTGTTCCACGTCCCAGGAGGGATCTGCCATCAAGCCATTGTCTTCTCTACGTTGACTCTCCAACCAGGTCGCGGCCGGCCTCTTTTGCTTCTTTCTTGTGATTGCCAACCCAAAGCTTCTTTGGAAGTCTATTGCGCTGCGTCCTCTGCACGTGTCCAAACCATAACAGTTGTTTCCATTCAATTTCGTGCAATCTCTTTTATTTTTTCATTACGCATTTTCTCTCTTCTTGAGATGCCAGCGAACCGTATTATTATTATTATTATTATTATTATTATTATTATTATTATTATTATTATTATTATTTGTGTCGCGAATAGACCATCTTAGGGCATCCCCAGTTATATTAAGTATTTTATCCGTGTACTACGAGTAATGCAAGTTTAACATGCTTAGGGTTCAAGGATTTAATGGTTAGGAATCCTCTTCATTTAGCCTTCTCCTATTACTATCCACTTCCATGGCCTTCTGAATGGGTCTTTATAGATGGTCTTATGATTTTGGAAGTGGGGTAAAGATAAGATGGCGTGTCAAGCGTCATTATATCTAATACAAAACCTTTTTTTCATAATGTTAAGTGTCGACATGAGGTGAGCAATAGATTCGATGGCGCATTAGAATCGCGCAACGGTGTCTCGGCCCGGTACCTTCAGAGAGGATGCCTCGGCCTCATTTCGGCGCTTGTGCATTATTCTTGGTGTGGGGGTCGAATTCCTCATTTTGCACACACATCTCACACACAGTGGCCTGTCAGACCAAGAGATTAAGAAAGGTCTATGGTTCGAATAGGCAACCAGAAGGGGAGGGGGGAGCTGGGGCAACTTACGCCAGCCCCCCACTTAATTGGAACTCCGATTTTTTTCATTCAGAAGAAATTGAAAATGTATTCAACTCTTATCTAGTTCAACACTATACGTAATTTCTGAAGCTTTAAGAAATTTATTCTGTTTATGAGTTGGTGACGCAGGGGATATTTTGTTTGGCATGACGGTCCCCTGAACCAACTGACATCAGGTTCCTGTTTTTCTCTGGGTGTTCCTGCCCCCAACCTTAGTGCTCACGTATTTGAGGGCTAATCACTGGCCCCTGCCTCGTGAAGTTGAACTACGTAACCGTACTACAGTAAAACGTGTCAAAGCCGGAATCGTTTTGGTTCAACATTTTCTTGTCATGTACAGGTGTCGGCTTATTTAGGCTTGCAATAAAAACCATCAATTCAGAAACCCGCAATCGTTCGGAGATGGAGTAGGTTGTTTGAGTAGTTTATCTCGCCTAAAAACTACATTTCAAAGAACAGAAGACGTCCATGGAGAGGCAAAGAAAATGAAATGCAGAAACGCAACATGAAAGAAAAATCTCTAAAAAAGTAAAAGAATGATTATTTTCTTAAATATTTGAGAGAGTAGGAACAGATGAATTTTTCAACCACCAATAAAAATGCATTTTAACCACTCATTCTTGATTTTGTTTTTGTTTTTAAAGTGTCATACACTAGAATTTTCCCAACTTTAAATTTCTTTATCAAAACCTTGATAGAAGTGTTGCTTTGATCGTGTTCTTCAGTTAGTCTAATATTCTCACCAAGAGTTAAAGTTTTCAATTTGCCGCCTGACATCATAAACTTGATGAACAACTCGTCGAACTGAGAAACGCTAAACGCACGAGTTCGCATGGAAAATGCGATGTTCGGCCGAGGGTAGCTGAGAAAGCTCTGAGTGCTTGATGGAGCGATGTCGCCACACGTAAAAGACAATATTTAATTTTAAAACAATATTTGTTTTCCGTTTAATCCAGAATTTTTCATACCGTCGCACTAACAATTCCTTTCCGTTTCCTCGGTCGGCAGGTTTCCGGCTCATCCAGTGTACTTTGCATAGGAAAATAATCGGTTTTGAGATTTTTCCGGCGAAGGAGGTTTCCGCCCTATCTAGATTCCATCTTTGACAGGTTTTACTGTATTCGTATCCGCCATGTAAACGATTATATAAAGGTATGTATTTGTAAACGGATATGTGACAATCATATTTTGATAAAACGGGGGTCGGGCCAGATCAATCAGGAATTTTCATTTTTGAAAATACCTCCGAATGAAAACGTGGGCTTCCGCGGCCGAAGCCAGTATTGTCTTGGGTGTCCGTGAAACGCCTGCAGAAGTGCACGTTGCGATCTGCCTGGGAAGCGTCGTCCCCGGACAGCCAGGTAGATACGTCCTCCGAATGATTTTGGGCTCTTGTGTTCAGGGGCGGGCGAATAGACATTTTTAAATGTACTCTTCGATGTCAGGTGACTCCGTTACAATCTCGATATCGATTTTTCGCAGCATTACATCACTTTCTTTATACTACGAATATTACATCGTGTATACGCCTACATATGTACTTGATAAACTAAAAAAAATACATTGTTACCATCCCTACCTACGTCCTAATTGCAATGTATATTTAAAAAAAAAAGTCAGCACGTATTTTGTTATATTTTGGAAGTATGAAATTAAATTGATTTGCTTAACACACTGTTGGATAGCTGGGGAGCCCTGACATATCACGAGTGGCCTCAAGAATCAGCCCTTACCTCGTAGATGGTCTCAACATGTTGCTCATGCTTCTGCCAGGAACTGCACTGTCTTACAGTGGCGAAGAAATTGGAATGACAGATACGGAGATGTTAAACTTCAACAAAAGTCGCTGTTTTAAACATTGTCATCTACAACCACGCAATTGGCATCAAATTATTTCGAAATACTCGTCAAGAACTCCATTCCAGTGGGACTCCAGTACCAGTGCTGGTAAGGAACACTTTATGAAACGTCAGTTCACACCAGCCCGCCGGTACATCGCATTTCTTCATACACTTTGATGTAATGAGAAAAAGTTTCAGAACACTAATTTTAATGTTGATGGAGTGAATGGATGAAAATGTGATATAGGTACCCTCAGTTCACACAAAGAATTATGTTATAAAATTATTCTCTTAATTTCTGTGCATAAAGAGGTAGTCTATACCTCGAAACACATCCGTTATAGCCTCACAGATAGCACCGTATCTTTCATAGTCCTGCAAGTCCACCCTGAATGAAATGAATGTTTCACTTTTCTTATTTTATTTTATTTTCACATGTGTACCTGATTTCTTTCAGGCTTCTCGACCAACATGTCAACTTGGTTACCAGTGAACAGAAATTACCGTGCTGTTAACTTACACCTCCAACGCGCAGCGTCCAACAGCCACTATCGCGTGTTCAGAAGATTAGTGGCAATGCGCCAGGAAGCAACAATTCGGAAGGGCCAACTTGCTATGCACGCTCTCTCTGATTTTGTGTTGTCATTTTCCAGGTTAGTGAAATAACATTAGCCTATTTGTCTTTGATTTATAACAGAATTCCGACAGGCATATACGGACTTTTTCCCAAAAAAGTAATGTTACAAAAACACATTCCTTCTAGCGTGAATAAAACGGTTATGTAATACTAGTTGTTCTCCATAAGTGTTTTCAACGCGCAAAATGTTCGAGCCAGGATTCCAACTTAAACACAAAGGTTTCGCGAGCTGTCGTGTGCGCTACATCGCCCAGCGAATCCTCTGAAAGAGGAATCAGTGAAAATAGGACCAATGCCATATTAAGCAAACTGCGCTTTATTTCACAAAGAAATAATGCGGATCCTTTTTACATCTTGTTAAAGTATTGTTTTAATTATGATTTCATTCAAAATTACACAAAAACTACTCAGATTTTCGAAAAATTGAGCGTGAACTTATTTCAAGATCTCTCTTTAAATAACAGATTTTATTAATGAAAAAATATCTGTCTTCAATATTATAGTGGTAGGAATATTGCGCTTATGCAATTTAATAACATAATAATTATAAATAAATATAATAATTAATATAAACAATTGGGCTTTTGCAATTTTCAAAAAATATGGGATTTTAACGAACATGAGACTTTCACTATTCTCTTAATCATTCTTTACGCTCTCCGACAATAAAATTCATTCAATAAATTAATGTGCAAGTATTTAATAATTTTGTTCAAAAACTCATAGAATACAAATTAATTTAAAAAATCGAACGCGCCTCAGAAGACACTTTTTTTTAGTATGTTGGCACAATTCTTTTGGCATAATTTGAATTCATAAGTTTTGCCGCCTCTTAAAATTTTGCCTCCGTAGGCACATGCCTCCTCTGTTTATGCATAAATCCGTCCCTGGCTCCCGGATATGAACCTATCAGTCTATAGAACTTACGCTGCTGTTTCCCGGTTGATCTGAATCGTCTCGAAAACTTTTTTTTAATTTTGAGGGTACTCAGGCCCGCAACGAGTAATGTTTCCAGAAATATGCGACGAGAAATTAAAAATGTCAGTGAGGCTGTATCCACACACTAGAAATGTGTCATTCAATGACTCGAAAAGCTTTTATGTGCCACAATCCGAGAGTGGTGACGGCAATTAGCTATGAGATCAGCTGTGAGTCCCATTTCTTGTTTTATTAAATGCACTTGTGTAATTTTTACCTGTGAAATACTAGTTTTATTATCATACTCGTAAATCATCTACTTGAGTTCGAATTGCCTCAAGAGAAATATGTTACTGCACTGCATATAAATCATTATTTAATATACGAAAAGGGCCCGTATGTGACATATAAGGAAGAAGTACAGTCTATGTCTTTATGCAAATTTTCTTGAGCTCCGATTACTACATTGTTGGTTGAATTATGAATAAATGGTAAACAATCAAATATCAAAATACCCTTTCAAGTTTCTTGTTTCAAATCTTTATTTTTAAATTTCTCATTACGTACTGCTTTCTTACAAGACATATTTTCTACAGCAGTTTTTCCTAGTTAATTTCCGTTTAAAGAAAAAAATTCAAGTAAGAAATTAAAAAAAACTGATTGTTAATCACATCTTTTACTGGTAAATACTATAACCTTACTCAGTTCTACGCCCTGTTTCGTGTTTTCCTGCCGCAGCGAATGTCTAAACGTCGTGTAACAAATGACGGAGTAGAAATGCGTCCGAGAAAACCCGCTCGCTGAGAGACGCGAGCGAGGAACTCTTGCGCTTCTGCAGAGGCGAACGAGGAATCTCTTTCAAGTGAGTGGGGGTCAATAAGTATTCGCTGTTCGGATTTTTCACATTTCTCGGCGCACATATACCAAATGAACAGCACATTCCTCGGTGAGGGTCTGTTGCGGGCCTTACATGAAGTCCCTGGAACATTTCAAAATTTTCTAAAAATTGACTCCGAACTATTTCTTCTTTTTTACGATTAGAGTAAAAAACACTAGTAAAGATAACGAAGATCTGATTATGTTTGAAATTTTTTAGACTTCTACTATATATGTATATGTAGAAGATTGGAGCCTATTTTGAGAAAATAATAGTTTAAAATGGTTTTAAACGCCCCTATGTTTCACGCAAAATTACGAAAGGAAGTACTCATGCTTTCAAAAAATTGAATCTTCATAATTTCTAAAAATATTATCTTCGTAATTGTACTTGCGGATGTAGGAACTGTTTGACTGCCACTCTGATTTGACCGTCCGCTTCCCTGAGCATCGACATTGTTGGCATGGATAGAACCAATTGATAAAGGTAATGTGGCATTATGTAGGTATGAAGTAATGCCAACTTCTGAGTGGGATTTAAATGCGCCTTTTGAAGTCTCGACACCGTTTCCATCAAATTCGATATGGATGCTTTAGATGGGAAGCCGTCCCAGATAGAGTAGTTCACTCTCAGTTATGTACGAGTATGATCATTGCTGACAAACAGGAGTTCTCTCCCCCAACCTTTCCAGACAGAGGTCCTCAATGAACCAGGATCGTTCAAAAGTAATTTGAAATGGTAAACCTTTCGCGACGGACAATGTCATTCCGAGGGCCCCAAGATATTCCACCACATTATCAACCAATTCTTGAGCTCTGGGGGCATCTTTTGCTAACAGCACCAGATCGTCAGCAAATGCTAACACCGAGACACTCCTTCCCAATAGCGTGTATCCTGACATATTTTCCAATTTCTCAAGCAGGCACTCCATGATGAGATTAAAAAGGAGTCCCCCTGTTTTACTCCTCTACGAATTGGCATTTCAATTCCTTTCGAGGGGTGCTGAATGACGGTGGAAACATCGGCGTAAGAACGCCGCGTGAGGAACAGTGTCAAATGCTTTGGATATATCTAGCACAACACCTACCTCACCCTCTGCTTTTTTTCATGTCACTGACTGCTTTGTGAAGAATTTGAATATTAGCGAAGCAGCCAGGTTCAGGGATAAACCCTTTCTGGCGTGGATTGAACTTCACCACGGATCAAATGCGTTTGTCCATAATGCACCAAAAGATTCTGCACAGCAGAGAACTAATTGTGATGGGGCGGGGCGATAGTTAATGGCCACCATATTATCCTTTTACCCTCTTGTGGTGTAAGGATGGTGCGATTAGGTTTCCACACAGAAGGCACAAAACTACTGTATAAAATTTGGATGTACAATAGGGTCAATATTTCAATTTTTAGAGAATTTCAATATTAGAGAAAGTAAATTACTATGTATATGGACGATCTTTTATTACCAGGGCTCGGCAAAAAGTTGTCTGTCGAAAATTCACCGCCCCCTCCCCGCAACATTACAATACTTTCTCTATTCTGCGTAAGCAGTAGCGAGAAAGAACAAATTAACCTCGTATAATATAATGTAAGCAATAAGAAAGTTAAAAATGTTTATATTTGAAGTGTTGATAATCTATAATAAGCATAGAAGTGTAAAAGCACACTGATGGAAAATTTAAAGTATATTTATTCAAAAGTGAAAGTCTTATTTTCCACCACTCATTGTATTTTACTATTTTCCTTACAAATGCTTCATATTACTTTTCAGAAGTCTTCAAGACAAAGATACATTTGTTACGATTATCAATTTCGGAGCAAATACTGTAGAAGTCAACCTGAAACCATATAATCTTCCCAAAATAGTATTGGTTCATACAGCTAGTGTGAATTCAAGATACAGAATGAGGCAAGTGAAATACTCTCATTTTTCTGTAGCCTATTTTCATGTCTTATACTGAGTCCATTTTCTGTTTTCAGTGATCGTGTGCACAGTAAAAAGATTGAGCTTCAACCATATTCTTCTGTTGTTGTAACCACAGGAAAAGCATATGAATATCAGTATCCAAATGGTGTATCTTCAGTTCATTTTGAATTCACGATTCACTTATTGAATTCTCTATTTACTCTTAGTTTATTAGTAATTTTTAGAATTTTTTTCTAAATATCTATCATGATTACAAATATTGATTGATTCCATTAAATAATAAATTGAATACTGTATATTGTTCCTTGAACAATGTACCCTGAACGTTACATTAACAATGCAATTTTAAGCTATGTGACCTTCATACCTTCAACAATGAGAAAAAACATCTAGACCAGGGATTCCAAAAATTTTTCTTACTTAACTTCCGTAAAATGAATGATTTTTTCCCATTACATTTTCTCTATAAAACATGATACTAATACAATTGATACGTTTTAATAGAATACATTATGATTATAAAACAAATATTTACTCATAAAGGGCATACTTAGATAGCAATTAATTAAGCAAATAATATGAACAAGCAAATGTGAAATTCAAAAAGGAGGAGATCATGTAATTAATTACTATATGTTGGTAGCTTTATATCAGAAAATATATCAATGAGGTAATGATTTAATGGATCGGTCACCTGTGTGTATTTGGCCATCCATCCCAATCATCCCTTGATCTTCACTGATCCCCTTCAGAATTTCTTTGACCGTCTGGAGTTATTCAACCCCATGGAAAATCTCTGATCTAGATACAGTAAAATCCTGCTTTTACGTTCCCGCAATTTACGTTTTCCCGGCCTTTGCAACATTTCTTGTCGGTTGCACAGTTTTTCGTATATTCATTTATGTTATAAATACCCCGCTTTTACGAATAGTAAATGATTCAATTTTTCCCGCAATTTAGCACCTAGGCCTATACAAGTTTACATTTCGTAACATCACTGAGGTATTTAAAAAGGTAGAAATGGATAATATGTATTGGTAGAAGAGTATAAAGTCTGTATCACACGAACGTTGCGTTGAGCTGACGCGCGTCACCTAACGCTGAGGACGCCAGCATCGTCGATGTCTGCGCACACGAGTCACTTAACGCGCCTGGTAAGAATTTTTGGCGAAACGACACACGAGCGCTCTTGGCGACGTGGCAACGCTCGTTGCGCGATGAAAGCTAGAAAACGCACCTTATCTTGACTTCGTTGTAGCTTGAGCGTCTTGCTTCAGCTGTGAGCACAACGCACGTCGCTAAGAGCGCTCGTGTGTGCTTTCGCATAAGATAGTGCTAAATCTACGACGCGCGTTATATGATGTGTGCACTGTCATCAGCATTAGGTGTACGCGCGTAAATGTAATGCGCATTTGACACAGGCCTAAGAGAGTAGCCTCACGAACATTTGTTTATTTTACATCATACTCCTTTACAGTTTCACGCTTTCTCATTCTAAAATGAATCATTTTTTTCTCATTCTTTAAAAGCTCAAACCTCATTTTTTTCTTACAGTAGAAATACCATTTTTTCCTTCATTCAACAGTGAGTGCATTGTTGCATCGTCAAAGACTATGATCACTGGAATGCAAGGACTCGTGGAAGTGTCATTGCAAACATTTAAAATTCACTGTGCTTTGGTTAATACTCTTTCGATTTCCGATGTAAGTTTTGATCAGATTTCTATTTGATCTTATATTATTGATTATTATCTAATACTGCATTGATTGTATGTATCTAAATACATACAGTACTCATTATTTAGAAAAAAATAATTTCCCCGTATTTATACTTTCTGCAATGTACACCGTTTTCACTAGGGACCTTTGAAAAGTGTAAAAGAAGGGTTTTACTGTATTCAATTTGTGGGAGGAGTCTGATCAAACCACAATTTGATTGTAATAATATTACATAATGTTCCGTGAAGTTATGTAATTTCATTAATGTAAGAAAAATTTAATAGTTCTATATGTGTTTAAATTATGAATTAAATAAACATTACTAAATAACAGTTAGTCTTAGTGTAATCATCAAATTCTAGTTTACTGGTTTATTTAGCACTTCTCTAAATCGCAAATAAATCATTGTCATCATGACCATGTACTCAACAGTGAAGGACGGGCCTGAGGTGTATTTCAGACATTATAGTTCTAATTTCCGATGTAAGCAAAAATTGAAACAAAACTATGCATGTGGTTATATACGCTCTGACTCTGGCCATGTGAGAGGTATCTACGGTTTTCTTAGATACCCAGGAACTTGGAAAATCTAAAAACAATGAAACAGTCATGATTTTGACTGACAAACACAAATATTTTTTTTCCACCTATTTGTATAATGCATGAATCAAATGAATAACCATACTCAGTGAGTAACTGCTTTCATCATGCAGCAGCAAGGCTCCAAGAAAGAGTCCATTAATTGAATAATTACCCTATTAACATGTTGCATTATGGAACAACAACATTTTTTTAATATTCTCAGTATGTAAAGAACTGTCATATTGTACAATAAACTGTTCTATGTTGCATTTTCACAAAAGTATTTTATTTATTGATTTTGAGCAGTGTGCATGCTACATTTCAGAAAACCATTTTGTGTGATACAATATAATCTAATATAAACCTTTCTGAGATATGGTCATGACCTCTCATTCTGCCCCTGATTCGTACATTGTTTAGAAGAATTAGAGGAAGAAATGGAAAAACTTTTATCATATTTTGGAGGAATTTGGTTTCTCTTTTACATCAAAATTCAATGTACTATATATTGTTTTTCTCTGTCAAATTTGAAGAATATTGAAGTCACAAGGGATAATAATTATATACTTATTTCTGATTATCGGGAAGAAACATGAATAGCTCTTCTGGATTTCTGGTTGAATTTTTCTCCCCTTATGTATAGACTTATTTTTACATCACTGAGATCTTTCTATCTTCAATTTGTTTTGGTAAACAAAAATTTAATCTGAGCCATAAAATATGATGGGAAAATTTATGAAAATCTTTGAAGGTCATCCATTTTTTGGTAAAACCTAACAATTAATACTAAATTAACTCTTATCTAAGCAACCTGTGTGTTGGAATCTTTTTATCGTTAACAATGAACAGTAAGGTTTTTATGCCTGGAATAATAAATAACTGCATAATAATAATAAATTTATTTTGGTTTAGAATAATATACTTGGGCAAACAGTTTTTGCAGGACACTTTATTTTCTTATGGCATGAAACAGTGGTTAGTGATCTTGAAATTAATGCAACAATCAAATTATTGATTTTTCTGTCTAGGAAGTCCAACTGGACATCAGGGATTGTTGAGAGGATAAATAGATTCTATGCAATTGTACATTTTATTAGATCTGGGGATCATGTAGGGCAAAAATGACCACACAAAACATTATTGTCAAGCAAGTATCGCTTTTAGACGGGAAAATGCTATTTGTTACAAGATGGAACAATTTAAGTTAGGAGAACAATAGCTGTCCTAATTAAAATGATTGATTGATTAGTGATTCAGATATGTCAACTGACAAGGTCCTCTAAGTTTAGATGTTTTATCACGGGAGATAGCAGTGATATTTTGCTGCTGGACAGTGAAATCCGGCACTTACCTACATGCTGGATTGCAAGGTTTTCCCCCAAACCAGGCATCTCCCACCAGCAGGGCACCACACCACCCAGGACAAGCTCTAAACTGCTGACTGGGGTCTCGGCATGTGGTAGTGCAGTGCATGTGAATGTGAGTGAAAGAAAGGGGTGACGGTAATGACAAGGATGAGAAAGGAAAGATCGTGCAGTCCATGGCCCATTTCTTAGGGTACTGCTCTGGCATGCGCCTTTAACCTAAGGACCTCCCAGTTGGAGGTACTGCAGTGACATCAATAGATGCACTGAACCACTTAAGCCGACCCTAGAGTAAAGGAAAAGAAAATCATAAATATTACAAGGCAGTGTCTGATGTATGTTGTTTGCTTGAATACATCGAAAAAAATAACTTGCCAGGAGAAGGATTAACAAACAATTCCATTATATCTAAATTGGAATCGCCTTCAGCTCTGAAAAATGGCAACAAAATTTAGAAAAGAGGTACTCCTATTTGTAACATTTGGCTTTCAAAGTACGCATTTAGTACAAAGGAAATATAAATATTGACAGGAGAAACAAAAGTGAAGAAAAGAAAGAAAAAAAGAAAAGGATTAAAGGAAAGAAAGAAAAAAACAGTGAGATTTTATTAACTTTTTTCAATTTTATATTTTGTTTATCTCAAAAATGAAGATTGTTGTAAAACATGTAAAGTAATATAAATGAAAGTTTTGCTGACACAAAGTAAAATAATTTTCAAAATGAGAATGGATTTTGGCTCAGAGCGAAGTCGCTCGCCTTTCACCAAGGAGGTCCCAATTTGATTCCCGGACAATCTTATGTAAAATTTGTTCACACAAAATGAGTTTAGCTGCTTCACTAGGGCTAGATCAACCCCAAGTGTCCTAAACCCTACCTCTTTCCTAATTCCTTCCCAATTCTTTCCACTGGGTAGTGATGCAGGAAATGGATGGAATTCATGGAAATGCTACCTGACACTCCTCTTCATGGCTGCTGACACAACTTACCAACTACTGACTATAAATAAAAAAAAGTAAGTTAGTGGAGGCCCTACACAATACGTTCTATGCCAAGTTCATGGCTTGTTCTCGACATGATTGAACGTTCTCACAGAATAGTGACAAAATGGGGGGAAAAGGGTAAAAAAGAAGAAGAAAGGAAAAGAAAGTAATAATGTTACATATTGATTCTGAATTTGTTAACATTTGAAGAAGGAAATGTAATAAAATTTAAAGAACTTTTCATAGGCTTTATTCAATATATTAATCTATACATTCATAAGTGCACTTTGTCGCAATAAAACATATAAAATAACAATTCATACAAATTTATGAATAACATGTCATGGGTTTCACAAGATCCCAAGTTGTAAATAAGATTAAATATGTATCTGAATTTTTGGCTTATTCTTAATGCTTAAAATGTTAATAAGAAACACAGACTCCTTGTTTTGTATTGTTTTTAAACATGAGGTTCACTTTTGAGAGAATAGGTTGTAGTCAGTAATTTACAATTTTGCTTTTACCAGATCTCATTCTGATTCATATTTGTGATCTCCTTCATATTAAACTTTATTGAACTGTTATATTTTAATATTTTTTTTATGTAAACATGAACGTTACTTGTATTAATTATTAATTCAGTATTACTGAAACAAAAGCCCATGTTTCCAATTGTATTTATAGACATAATATTATCATTAATTATGTATGAACACAGTAGTTTTCAATTCCTTTTTCAGTCTCAGTTTGTTAATTAGAGAGAATTGTGACATTAGTTATTAGTTGAAATAACAGTGCTAATACCATATATATTCACCTTTGTTTAAAAGCCACCTAAGTGAAATTTTCCTCAGTTTTTACATTTCATTATGAAACTCAGAGGAAAAATCCAAGAAATTTGAATTTAAATATCTCATAGGTCAGAAAAACAAGCTCTCCAGGAGAATGTAGGAAACTCGCACAAGTTGTATTAAGTAATTCATAAAACATAATTCTTAAATAATAATCATCATCATCATCATCATCATCATCATCATCATCATCATAACAACAACACCAACAATAACAAATTCACATTAAAACTTATGAATTTATTCTGACTCTCTGATATAATTATTTTAATATATCCTTTTATAGTTATTTCTTCTGCTCTCCTGTAAAATTTGCTTTTTTGAACTTATCTGCTTTCTTAAGAAAGGTGATAAAATGCTTTAACTCATGTGTAGATTATGCTCAATTAGAATGCAAGGAGGTAATATAGTAAGTATGTATGGGTTACAGCATATGTGTTAAAGAACAAGCTTATGTAAATTTTCTTTGCATAGTCACTTCCACTGCCCCCCCCCCCTCAAAAAGGTGGAAAATATTATATAAATGATCTGTATTCTGATAATTTGCACATACTTGTTTTACCTTTTCTTTTACATTCTTTAAATGAGAGGAATTTTTGCAATATGATGAGGTACTTCCAGATAGTAAGCTTCCCTACGACACCAACAAAAATCAAAGTTTCATGAAAATACAATCATAGAAAGTGCAGCTCACATTGTCCTATTCTACATTATCCTCCCCAGAATTGATACATTTGTCATACTGTAGGATCAACATTTGTATCCATGAGTCATAGAAGTCTGCCACTTTGAATACTTAACACTGTTTGGCAGTCATCTGCAACTCTGCATCATTTTGATATGCGTAACACTAATGGACAAGAATTTCTTTAGGTGTAAGAAAAAATGGAAATTGCTGGGGGTGAGAACCAGAATATCGGGTGTCTGACCATGCAACCTATATATTACAGGTGCTAGACTCCTATGACTAAGGGAAGCTATTGCTGATCCCTTGGTATGACAGATCTAATAGTTTTGGTGGTGATTATGAGAGAAAATAGTGCAACATGTGCTTTATCTCCTACCATAAAGTTATTAAATGAAATTGTCTGTTGTTGTTGTTAGTTGTTTTTTCTTTCTCTTTTGTTAATGACCTAGGGAACTTAATTTCCGGATATAACTTGAAATTTTTTGATTATATATTATAAAATACAATAAAACAAGAAGATAGATAAGAAATAAAAATACTTGATTAAAATACTTTTATATAGAGAAGAATTATATATTCATTAACAGTTAGCAGAAAACACAACAGAGAGAATGTACTGAATGACTAAAATATTTTCATTTTTTATGAACTTGGTTCATATCATGTAAACTGTCATTTTCTGTTAAAAAACACATTTCTCCCCCGTATTTATATCAATTGGTGTTGCAAATATGTACAAATTGAGCAAAGATAAATGTTATAATAATATGCATTTCAAAAGCTTGGTTCATTTTAATGGAAGGACACTCTCATTGTTGAATGATTTGTTTACCTAGGAAAATATTTTAGATGTCTCTTTAGTATAATATTATAAAAAGGCAGTGGTGAAAGTATGTCTTTCCTTTACAATTTCATCTTAGAACCTGTAACTACATGTTTTGATATATTATGTAATATTATATTTTGTTCTAAGAAAGTTATTTATTAATTCACTATCATCCAATTCATTCCAAATAAGAAAGACAAGAATGCATATTTTATAATGAAGTAAGAAGATTCACTTTTATTTGCTTTAAAAGTATATAATGAATTTTGTATCTTTTTATCACTCTAAGGCCAACTCTAAATCAATTAATAGTATCTATCACTTCATTTCAATTATGCATCTAAATGTAATTGGGCTTGAAATATCAGATAATCTTATATAATAATTAATAATTATCTACATGTTAATAATAACTAATAAGTAATAATTAAAAATTTAAGAAGAGTATTTGAATATTAAAGAGTAAAATTATTGAAAGAAATTAATTTTCACAAAAACACCATTTAATATTTGGAAAATTGAGAAAATCACAAACATAATTTTCATTTACTAAAAGGGCGTAAAATTAATTAATGTAATAAAATAACTAGTATTATAGAGTTTTGTGTGTGTGGTTGCAGGTGGTTTTGAGAATTTACTTACCAAAACCTTTATAAAACCATTAAAAAAACAATGAGTAACCCAGAATACAAAATATGGAGTTGCTGATGACATCAACAGTACAATTTTGTATTCTCTGTTACATGTGTTACAAAAAAGTTTTCAAATTCCATCCTTCCTGGTATCTAGAAATAGAGAAAATCTACCCACTGTCATTAGGATTCTATCATTTGGAGACAAATGTTCAATACTTTTTTTTAATAAATGTATATTAAAACAAAAAATACAAATAACATTACTGGTTTACTCTCTTCTTTTGGTACAGTGAGGTAGTGATTCAATCGGAAATTGTGATACAGGAACTAGAATGACAGGTACTGGTAGAACTTTGTATCACCTGCTTACACGAAGTTTCAGTCGTGCAGATAATGAATTAGTGGATCTTTGACGGGCTAACTGACCAGAATAACGACCATGATTCGCAGCTTCTTTCCATTCTTGCTCAAGACGAACATAAGTGCCTCCTATAAAAAATTAGAATTATTCACACTGTTCACAAGAACTAATAGGAAGTAATTATAAAAATTAAAAACTTAATATTTTCAAAAAATCAATTATTTAACCTGTTGGTGTGATATGGTTATTCCAAATAGAGCTGTGATAATAACCATGACCGTGTCCTTTCGGTGATCTGCATGTCCTTGCAGCCATCCTACCACAAGTACGCCGCGTTAAAGCTTGAATCATTTGCCGCATGAGATTTTCTTCATATTCTCTTTGATTGTCTTGGTTGCTTCGAATAGACAAGTTGGCCAACCACTGACGACATCCATCCAATCTGAGTAATTTAATTATATTATACATCCTCACATTGAAGGTTGCTCAAGAACTGTTAATAAATACAAACTAGCCATGCTACAACATTGTGTAACAATTTTAAATAGTGTAACATCATATTGCAAAACAGGCTTTCTGATAATAATTGAGTGACCACTTGAGTGGGAGTGCCTTATCTTATATTCATTTAAATATAATGAATATTATAAAATGAATACAAGGGATAAAATGAATAT